AAAATATTTAAAGTAAGTTAACTGAATATTGTTAAAGGGTTTATGTTACTGACGAGTAAGTTTCAGCTCCTGTTTGCTTTATAGAATACCAGCACATGCTAAAGGATTAGAATTATTATGTATTATGTTTCACATAATACATAATACATTGTGCATCATTATATAAAAGCATTGAAACATTGGTACGTTTTACTTAAAAAGGTATAAGAATCCTTTCTTTTCTTTTATCGCAACTATTAGTTAAACATGACATAGATTGATAGACCAACATGTGATTCATACAACTCAATGTTATAACGTTAATATCATCGGTAAGTAGGGCTGGAATTATATTAATAATATTAAAAAAATACATATTTACTAAAATTAAATCAATACCAAACATGCCTATAGGCTACAAGCAGAACCATCAAATTTTTGCCCAGCCTTTTAGTCCCCTTGCTCAATGGGAAGATATGGCTTTGCTTTCTGGAAGTATTATTATTTTGTAAGACTAAATATAGCAACCCAAATTAGTCTATACCAAATCGGGACTTTTTCCCTGCACCCCTACCGGGGCCTTCATTTTTCATTGATTCCAAATAGGACTCACTTTAAACAAAGTTTCATCTTCATCATCATCATCATCATCATCATCATCATCATCATCATAATTATTTCATATTTTTTCTGGGCATCCAGGTAAACAAATTTTCCACGGTATGACCACTGAACCCCTGTAAAACTAGCCACATTTAACAACATTGTGCCCCTCCCCACTCTTTTACAAAAAAAAGCTGGATAGCCCTTGAATGTTAGTGCTCTGTCTCACCTGTTAGATCTGTACATGGAGGTACAGTATCTACATGGTCTGTCTGAGTGTAATCGGTGTAAGGTCTACCAGAAGAAAACACAGGATTTAATTGCAGCATTTTAACAATTCAAGTGATAGTATAACTAATTGGAGCGTGATAAATAATTGATTATGCTTCAGACTGAATTTGGTATAAGTGTAAATTAAATTGTACGAGCAGTACGTTTGTCGAAAACACGTTATTTTTATAGGCATAGGAGGCCTACTGTATTTCCATAGATAATTCATAGCATACTGTATCATGTGTATTCATAGAACACGTTCTAGGCATAGGCCTATAACTAATTAATTGCATATTGTTAATATTTATATTATCATTGTTATTCCTTGTACAGTGTTTCCTGCACTTTATTTGTTCATGGAGTAATAAGCAACTTAATTGCATTTTGAACAATATATCATTTTCGCAGTAGGCCTACATTTTGTCTATTCCCATGATTTAAAATAATCTTACGAATTGTAATTTGGTCAATGCTACCACACTCTGTGTCCAGATATAGCATTTTTAACCTGGATGCTTTTTTTCTGTGCCCACTCTTTAGCATCATGCACAGGGCATAGGCCTTTTATATCTCTATTTTTTCTTGAGTCATACCAGTAAAAAAATCTTCCTATTAGGATTATATATGGGAGAGTACCTCATGAACATTATTCACACACCCTCGAGCCTGCTATGGGGATATATTCATGCCACGAAACTTAGAATATGGAATATAGTGTACGCTGGGAGCAAATATTTCAATAGATAAATTTAATAAATGTAGGATGTACAGTATATATTGTACTACATATTTTCATAACAATAACTTAGTTATAATGCCTTAAGTTTCAAAATTTGCTCACCTTGGCCCAAAACATATGGGGCAGTGGTGGGTATATCTCTAGTCCCCACTAACTTTAAATCTTTGTCTGCCAATAGACAGGATGGGGAGGGGTGGTGGCTATACAGGTTTGCCAGCTTGTATTTCCAGGCATCCAGAGATACCATATTTCCAACATAGACTCTATCCGTGCTAATTTTATTTCTTTGTGGGAGGGGCTAGCTGTTCTACAAATTGTCAGCATTTATTTCCGGGCATTCAGAGTTGCAAAAAAGTTGTTTAACAACCATAATGAGGCTGATAGTGGATGCTCAGCTCCCTACTAACTTTTACAAAATTTGTTTAGTTTCCCAACACCCCCCCCCCCCGCTCTGACTATAATGGCCGGACCACTTGCAAAAGGCTTCCGACGGCTATGATTTCACTCCCAAGTAGGCCTAATGTACATACCATACAATTTCATTTTAACCCTTACTCGGGCTTATCCAATAACTTCCAATGCTACATTGTGGTGAAAAGACATGACTTTTATGACATATCATGATCTATGATCCAAGGCTATAGTTTTATGATCTCAATGACCAATAAAGTATATTATAAAAGAAACGTACTGTTGCCATCGAGACTTCGATTTCCGTTCAGTTGGCCCACGGAGAAATTAGTTTAGCTAATTCCCAAATGGTTAGTGTGTATACATACTGAGTTTAAGCTAGTAGGCCTATAGTCTCACTTGGAGTTTTTAACGACACGTTTAAAATATAAAAAAAACAAAACAAAAAAAAACAATTATATCACTGATGAGTGTTTCTCCATACCAAGTTTAATATTACGAGTGATTCATATCATAAGTTATAAACCTTGCACTTAAAAGTTCAGTCATTCAGTGTAACACTGGACTGAATAATTAAGATTAGCAAATAATTTGTCATTTAATATTAATTACAACTTTTGTAGTGTAAACAAGGTCACAGAATCAAAGGTAGAAAACAGGAAGAGTGGGTAATCAAAGCAGAATCTACTCTTGTAAGAAAATTGGCAATTGTGACAGTGAAAATGTGCACTTACCCATCCCTATCTATCAGTCTGAATTCGTCTCTAGAGACTATATTAGCATAAGTATATTATTCTATGCAGAACGGTTAAATATTAATGTTAAAACAGGATATCACTCTTGTATGAACATAATACACCATTTTTACAGTGCCTCATTGAGGCAAGACATCTTTTGTACCTTCTTTAGCGATCCCGCGGCCCTCTAATAAAAATTGAATTTTATTTCTGTCTAATTAGCGCAAAAATAAAGTTGTTTTATTTTGTTATGCCCGCTGCTGCCTTGAAATCTTCAAAAATAAGATATGCCTATTTCTTCCTAATTACATAAATTTACAGCATTAACCTTCTTATTACACTGTTTACATTCACCAATAATGTTTTTATTTTCTCTGCTGTCCAGATGTTTTTGACAAAACTATTTGCTAAATAAGAAAACATTTTATTTTTCCGCCCTCCTCTGACAATCTTCAAAAAAATATGTTCACGAAACAAAGTAAAAAAAAGTCTCGCCTAATATACTGTATGCAATGCATGCACATGATTTATGTTGTATATAGTCAAACTTACACTCTAGATTCAACATGACACTGAAAGAAGGGCACAAAATGGCGACACTGGGTTAAGTTGATAGAGCGAAGGGAAAAGCATGTCCCGGGTGGGGATGCACCTCTCCCCCACAGACACACTCCCACTGAAAAGTTGCTGAGCAAAAAGAAAAAAAAACCCAAGTAGTTAATAATTACCAAAATATTAGTCCATTACCTAGCTATACGGTGTACAGTAAGAATGGCCCCGGAAAAAATGGCCCCAGTGAAAATGGCCCCAAATGACAGGTAGGTAAAAATGGCCCCAGTAATAAAATTTTGTAATAAAACTGATTTTTAAAAAAATCATTATGCATTTTTTTTAACTGAAATAATTTAGTTTAATTACATATTCAATGATAAAATATTCAAAGATAAAAAAAATAGCCATGAATAACACTTTTATTTTTTTCCCATTTAAATGTTAAAAAATAGCAACATAATCAATAAATCAACATAAATCATGCATTTATTAGTACTAAAATAATTTATTTGTGGCCAATTTCATGGAAGCGGAATCACAATTTTCCAGAAATTCAATCCGGTTATTGGTAAACCTCACAAACAATGAGTTTATATGAACATCAAAAAATAGGTTCTTATAAATATTTAACTTTAACTTTAACTGAGTCAATCACAATTGAATTCTTTGGTTTTCTACAGTGTGTTTTAGGAGGTTTTTGGGATTTAGCAATACCATTTGATCCTACCATAATTACTTTACCCTCACAATTACACGCCATTTTATTTCTTAGCATAATTGCCATATTTACATAACTATGTATGTAATATAGTATCTCAGTTTACATTATTTAGTATAGTTTTAGGCACTTAAATTTACTTCGCGGGGAGTAGAAACCAAGTATGCAATTAAATAAGTTGCTTAAATAAATGTATTCCTTATAATTATTCAGTTTACTTTAAAAACAATATTTGATTAACAAATACTTCTTTGAAGTACACTAACTCTAATCAGAACATTTGCTGAAGTAAAGTAAGCCTCCCTTTCCCATTCATGAACTTGTCATTCAAACACACAATTGATCCACATGCTTTAACTACTGTTTATTTGCACTGTTTATAACTTGTAAAGTTATTTCATTTGATACTTTAACAAAAGTGAATTTTGTGGTTGTCTATGAGTTGCATATTTTGGTAGTTGAAGTACTGTGTGTATGTCATTCCTCTACTTTGTTAGTGGAATAACGTTTTTAAAACTTATTTCAACTATCAAAAAATGTTCAATGGCCATTGTTTTCTGATAATCTCTCAGTACATTATTTGCATCTGTTGTGGATTCAATTCTTGCTTATTACAGTATTTAAATATTTGAAGATTTAAAAAAAAAAAATATCATTTCTATTACTGAATTTTTTTATTTGGGCCATTTTTACATACTTGTCATTTGGGGCCATTTTTACCGGGGCAATTTTTACCGGGGCCATTTTTTCCTGGGCCATTTTTTCCGGGGCCATTCCTACCTACATTCAGCTATACATACATATATTTTTATATACCCCTCTTTCCCCACGGCCATGACAAAACATACACGACAATCAGGTTATATAAATTTTTTTTTCGATGAAATGTAGATTATGAATACCATGATTAATGTATAATGTTTATACAAATTTGTTTACAATACAACAAGTATGTAAATATTACAATGTCATTATTAGAGACTATAAATAAAACATAAATATTATATTCACAATATTTTACAAAAGAAAAACATGTAAATTTTAAATAATGCATGTTATTTTCTTAAATTCTTCCAGCGTTTATACATTATAGGCCCAATATCAATTCTCATAAAAAAACATTCGTAAAAGGCAACTGCAAGATACAGCATGTAATTAAAGAACTTTTCATAATAAAATTAGCTACAAACTATTAAAAAGGCTTTCCATTCAATATATACATGCACAATATAACTAGAGGAATCGCTATAAAATGATTATTACAATATTTACTAAAAAGAATTTAAATGCAAAAAAAAATTATATTAGTAATATTACAACAATAGCAATAAAAAAAATACATATGTTTAATACTTGGTGGATATACTGAACAAGCACTCATAACAATATCATAAATAAGAATAAGAACGCATTATATTTTCTGCCCTGAGACAATTAAAGACAAAAACTGAAATTAACAACTTAATTATTACATAATAAGAAATTTCAATCAAAACTTATGATATAAAATCTACTCTCAATGCGAAGACTTTATTAGATAAAACCAACCATAAAACATTACGTGCACCAGTATTTCGAAAAGAAGGTACGCATTGGAGTGATAACACATACTGACTTGCCAGACAAGCCAGGCTACCAGGCTGTGGTATACATCGGCACTGGCTACTGGTCAAGTCAGGCTACTATCAGTCAGGCCGCACTAGTAGTGGTCATGCCATACTACTGGTTTAATCAGGCTATCAGCTAATTGCTTACAAACTATCATGATAACAGATAAAGCTTAGAATTATTTTTCATGATTTCTATTCTTGTTAATGTATACTGTTAATTGTATGTTATGGCACCACAATAAATATTACAAACTAACAAGTCATGACTCATCTTTCTCACATGATTAAGCCAAACTTCTCACTTCAGTCTATGTAAAATCAACAACACATTACATTTTATCTATTAAGATTTATTTCTAACGAGAACATAATCTTGACCAATCTAAACTTTCCATGATAGATCTTTCACAAAACTTATACACTTACAAGACACTAATATAATAGTAGGGATTTTTCCCCAAGTTCTTAGATGAATAAATGCGATCTGAGGTCAAATGGGTCACACCGTCAGATTGCCAATTTTGGATGTCTCTTGTTGTGTGTCGACAAGCAGATCTTCAGCCACTACTGGTTCGGGGGCTCTTAGGGACATTGCCGGTGTCGTATCTTCTGAATCATCATCCTGCGTGTCTTGCCGAAACCATGATTCTCGAGGAGTACCACTTGGGGAACATTTTCCTTGTGGTATTGAACTTATATTGCGATCATGAAGCTGTTAAATAAAGTGACAATATTTGAGAAAAATCTAAAATATAAGATACAGTTAAGAAGGAATCAGTATCTTGTGATGATGCTTGCGATGATGGCGATGACAATCTCAAGATACTAGTACACAGCTGAGGGAGCTGTTTAAAGGCAGAGTTCACACCCACATGCATAGGCAGATTGAAGGGTTGGGTGGGAAAATGAAGGAAAAAAAATTACATAACAAATTTATGTCTTAGAGTGCACCTCAGTCTCAACCATGGATGGGGCTGAGGTGGACTAGTCCCTCCATCTGTCAAAATACCCCCCTCTATATCAAATTCCTGGATCTATCACGGAAATGTGTGAACAATTTAAAGACACAACACTTCCTTGTACACAGATATGGCACTCTCAAACTTGAAAAATGCATTACAAATTGTCGTAATTTGAAATTAAATACACCAAATAATATTATGCAGAATTGCTCTTAAAACCAAATGAAAACTGTTCAAAAATTGAAAAAAAGAGGTTTAAATGTAAACGGGGGGGGGGGGGGAAACAGCAGTTTGTCATGTATGTGAGGATGGTGCGGTAGACTGATTCCGTGAGTCTCTTGGCCATACAAGGAGGTGATAATGATAACTTTCGTATAAATAGTAAATGAATAATTGGATAAATAAAGAGTGATGTTGCTTTACCTGATGCATGTAAATTGCACTGAAATTCATATCTATTGTATGGAAGTTGTCTGAGGCTGTACTTGCCCCGACCATAGGCTGGGAAACCTGTAGACTCGCTAGTCCACCTATACTACTCTGTAGATTTCCTCCACTCTGAATACTGAGGAAAAAAGAGATTATGGACAATGAATGTGAATAAACTTATTAACTACATTATTGTTAAATATTACAAAATTAAATAATAATAATAATAACAATGATGCAAGATACTATAACATTAATAACAATAACAATAGTAACATGACCATGATGTGATGATGAAGATATTGAAGATGATGATGATAATAATAATAATAATTACAGCTATTTATATAACAAATTGCAGTTAAAAACTGAACTGAATGTTGAGAAGTAAATTTGTAAAATGGGTAAAAGATTATAAGTGTATTTAGCATTGGTGTACATACCTGCTAAGTAAGCCTGCACTTTCTTCTGAAATAGGGCCCTCAATTGTGCTTAAGCCTCCTTTAACCTTTTGTTTAGGCCCAGTTTGTGGAGTTCTTATGCCTGGAAATGAGGAGAGCGGGGGCTGTCCAAGTGGTGTCTGGACCCCGGCTGGTAGCTGGTTCTGTACTGCCAGGCTGCTTAGAATACTATTATACTACAATGCAATAATATAAACAAAAATATCTTGAAAATTTTTTCTTTTTTAAGTTTATTGACATTTAGGAAAGGTATATCTCTTTGAAGTTTTGAATAATTACAGTATACATACCCCTTCAATGGATGTAATAGATCGGATGGAGGTTGTGAGAGCTGTGTTCTGAGCATCAAGGTCGCACATTAACTTCATATCTTGTTGAGCTAAAAAAATAACATCAATAATACACTTAGTAAAATTATTCTGCAGCAGGGGTCCAAAGTTGGAAGTCAATTCCAGGAGATCTGCAGTGGCAGATCAAGGAATTCCAAAAAATGGTGGGGGTCCAGGGAGGGACTTTCGTAGATGAAGGGTCTAAATTTATGATTATGGCACCTCCAGATGGCTGAAAATGGCCATCTGGAGGCCATACTTAAATATAAATATAATTTTTTTTCCCTCCATTTTTAAAAAATAATGTAAAAAAAGGGGGGGGGGAGAGATGGGGTATTTTTGGGAGATTCTTGTGAGTGATAACTATTTTTCACTTAAGTTGCCAATGATGTATAGATTCAACAGATTCACAAATATTGATCATGTTCTTAAAGTCGGACACATACACTGCACCAATGGTCGTTGGCCAGTGTGATTCTAAGGAGAACGGCACACAAGGAGGTACGCTCAATAGATCATTTTAAATGACAACCTGTTGAGTCTGCCACGGACAATCAACAGAGAGTGTCGCACTGTCAATCGCTCACGAAGGGCGAAGATGGGTTAGTCGACCAATGGTCGTGTGACACAGTATGTGCAAAGCTTAAGTTTTAATTTAGTATTTCTTTCTCATCAAACAACATATGGCACACCCCTCACCCCACCTCACCTATCCTCTTCATGCCAAGAGGCACAAAAGCCCATAACATAATCTCTCCATTTAACCCTGTCTCTTGCTGCTGTTTTGGTACACCACTGACTTATAATTATGACAGATTAAACTACTCTAATTTTTACAACATGAACATTCATGAAAATATCTATCAGGGTTTCATACAGCTTTTAATTTTCACTATTTAGAGCCTAAGACAAATAAACTTTTGATTTGATGTAAAATGCATATCATCTTAAGCCCTGCCCAGACTATCAAATTTTATTTGTCAAAAAAACATGCGACATGACTAAATATGGTCATGATGACATCACATCATGACCATATATAGGCACATCATGACTATATATGGGCATACAACAGCTGTGTTTGTCAATTTGACAGGGTGGACAGAGCTATACCTTGATCTTTGAGAGCACCAATATATTTACTACTTTGCTGAGGTGGTTTCCACTTTGGATTTGTCATCTACGAAAAAAAAAAGAAACACACAAGCCTGATTATTATACTGTATAATGCAATGAAGACGTTACAGGTGAAGTGTTCCATAATGGCATAATAATTAGCTGTTTATCTGTGTCAAGAATTCACATTTGTACCTAGATATGAGAAAAAGTGAAATGAAAAAAATAAATAAATAAAACACATACTTATCATGTTCAATGTTTATATTTAATATTTTAATTTGTGTATATTGAATTATAATTGTTTCTATATTTCATATTATTCGTTGTTGTCATGAGGAAGCCCCTCAACAGTAGATCAATCTTATACTCTTGGGCAATCCTGCCATATTATAACTATATTTTTATACGTACAGTATTTATGATGCAATAAATGAAATGTCTACCAAGGAAAGAGAGACGGGCACTCCAACCTGCGAGCGCAGAGCTTCAGGTTTCAACCTTTGACCTTTACTATGTTGATTATGCTATTGCTTCCTTTTTTGTACTTTTTTCTTTTTGCAATTTGTCGAAGGGCCAACCGAGACAAACTCGAATTCTAGGTTGGTCCTCATCTATGGCTATGTTCTCAACACGGCAGCTAACAGTTAGCAGGATCCGGATCCTGCTAACTGTTAGCTGTCGTGCGTCCATACGAGAAAACCCCGATCTGGATACCAAGAATATGATGATCGAATCACTAGCCAATAAGAAATTGGAAATTGTAAACGCGTATGTGTGATTGGTTGATGATAGAAAAGTGATCACTTGGTAACCAAGAGCCGCTAACGGTTAGCGCTAACCGATCGAGCGTTCTCACACAGGTGCTAACGGTTAGCGCTAAAGGTTAGCTCCCGATCCATATACTACAGTAGGTCTCTCGTGAGAACCAGGCTAAGTCTTGTTTTATATGTAGGTATGGCCATAGTGAAATAAATGTACGATGATTTGATTTATGTGATGAGGTGAAATCATTAACATACTGAACATTGGCTAAGTAATGCTTACAGTAAAGTGCATGAGAGAGAGTTCAGTTTTTCCATCTTCTGCTTGCTGATATTGACTCGACTCTGTTTTCCCCTCAGACATCCACTGTAAAAAATACAGTAACACTGCATATTATTAACTAAAGTACATACCCAGAGAGTGTGCTCAGAGTGCCAAATCACATTGCTATTTGTTCAAACATGACACAAAATATTAGTAAATTAATGGAAGTAAAATACAAACTAAGTTACATTAACAGGTATTAATTTGCTATAAAAAGTTCATTATCTGAAAAAAAAATTTTTTTTTATAAATACATTCCCTCTATTAGTCTAATTTTGTGCATTATTCTTTCATAATTAAAATAGAAATTAATACTACTTAGTAAACCCCTTTACAAATTCCTGGATACGCCGCTGAAATAATCATTTACAATTTAAATAATAAAGAGGTATACAATAAGAAAAAGAAAATAAATGGGTATTACAAGAGAAGTGGCTCACAAAACATATACGGTACAAATTCAAACAACTGTAATCAGTAGTGTCAACATTTGTCAAAAGTATTCTGATTTTCAAACGTGAAAAATTAAGTACCCTTGCATTTCCATGTCTCCTAATATCCATCTCTGCAAACGAACACACGTCGCCAACACCTACTACATCTACTGTAAAATTATGGTAGAAATCAACAATGTCTAACGCCCTCTTCCTAACGCTGAAGCACAAAATGAAGGGCGTAACTACGGGACTAAGCAGTTCTTCCAAGTAATACACCTGAGAAAACAAAGTTAAAAATATCTTTAGCTAAATTACAAATAAAATAAACGGACGGAATACTGCCTGTAATACAGATAGATATAAAGTTAAAGCTTAACAATTTTTAGTATATTTATTAACAAGGTATAAGAAAAAATGTACTATGCAGGAGTGGATTTGGGGGAGGTTATTTCCAGGTGTCTAGAAAACAAATTTCATCGGGATACTCCCCCGGACCCCCTGGAGTATGCTGCTTCTCAATCGTGCCCCCCTCACTTTCGGACGTCGCTGGATCGCCCCCCACCCACCATGGTTTCTCGGATGTAAGCCCATGATGGATATAAGGACACCCCTAACTTCACATACAAGATGATGATGATAATCATGATTAAATGCTTAATTTACTTATGGTGACAAATCCCTATGGTATGAAAGAATAATGCTAAACTTACAAATTTGTAATGAAAAAGTTGAGAGAATTCATCGCGGACTCTTGAAGTGTGAGCGTTTCCTTTCCAATTGTCCGGCATGTAGTGAATCTGAGCTAATATACTTTGTATTAAAGTTTCTGGACACCAGATTAAGTTCTGGGAAAAAATGAAAATTAATACTATTTCTAAAAAAAAACCAGAATTTTCTATAAAATCAATTATAAACTAATATACTGTAAATAAAAAAATTCTCTAAATCGAATACAAACTTTTAAATTTGTCCAAAAATTCAATAGTAATAAATTAGGTTTATGATGGTCTCTACTACTGTTGTTATTATTTATGTCACAGTTAACATTGTCGTCATCAACAATAATATATAGTTGAAATACCTCATCTGGTATAAACGTTCGGCAAACAGTCACAACCAAACCTGGAGAGATAAAATATAGGGAAAATTTGAAGAACAAAAAACTAATACATGAAGAAAAAGTCTGAAATCTTATCGCAATATTGCACATTGCAACATTTTTTTAATGTCTTGTATTGATGAATTTTTAGCGCTGTCTTATTACGTTATATGTTAGGGATGCATAATCATTAGCTGCTCTGATAGTACATAGCAATTATTGCAATCATCAGAATGTTGTATAGCCATTGTCATTTTGTTTGTTGTGTATTGTGACCTGAAAGTATAACCAAATGAATAACTGTAATAAAAAAAATTTAACATTTAAAAAAGGTTTACCAAGAAGTGTCATGATTGTGAGTACATGCTCAACTGTTAATACATCTTCATCGTAGACTGTAAGAATGATTATAACTGCTAAAATTGAGCCAGCAAAAAACGCTAAATTCCTACAAGTAGAAAAAGAGCGGTAAATATTAATGGTATAAATTTTACATTTCTAATGTACAGTTTCAGTCATATTCAGTGTGGTAGTAGCAACCCAACCATGTGTCCATTTAACTTACGTATGGAGAGAAGCAATACAAGCTAAAGAACGCATGCAAGTAACCAACTTTAGGCTCAAAACCCCAAAAATTTCAATTGGAAATAGTTAAAAATTTTCCAGATTATCTAAATTACATTTGACAAAAACATGTGACATGTCTAAATATGGTCATGAAGACATCACATCATAACCATATATAGGAACATCATTTCATTTCGTTTCATTTCTTTAGGCACAAGCAGCAAGGATATGCCCATAAGTGAACTTAATCACTGTCCTACATGGCATATCCATTTAAAAACAGGGGACTTAATGGACCAGTACACCGGGGTAACCCCCTACTCTTCTCGAAGGATGTACTGGGTTCTTTAAAGTGCACACTAGTCAAATGCGTACACTGGGCCTACGGTTTAAATTCCTCATCCGAGAAGACTTGTTCCACCACCGGAACCATTGGCGAGTGAGCCATTCGAACCAGCGCCGATATTAGAGCTGAAGGTACGGTGCCCCTGACTTAACCGCTCGGCTAATCAACCCGCCAATCATGACTATATATGGTCATACAACAGTGTTTTGATAGTGTTATCAAAGCTTAAAAAGCAGGATTCAAGTTATAACATTAAGTTTCTGTAACTATGAGAGAGCTTTTACAAAGAGATATAAACAAAATTTATTGTTTTATTAAATGAATAAGATAGAGCAAACATACTGTGCGATGACTGTCAGTATACTGGATATGAAGGCATTCAAGTATTTGGTAGCTGGCTTGTAACCACGATTTAACCTAAAGAAAAACACAAGGACAGGTAAAAATTATGAGGAAGTAAAAGAATTGATGAAGATGATGTTTGTTATTTTTTATTTGTTTGTTTTTATTTTGAATCCAAATACAAAATACAAAAACAAAATACAGAGAAATACAAAAAAAGACTGGATTCAGGACGACCCAATTAATCCAAAACAGATGGATTAGTTTCCATTGGGGTCCAGGTAAAAATTTACATTAAAGCAAAAAAGAAGAAAAAACACATAAAAAACCAGAAATTGAAATTGGAGGAACTAGGCATAACTTTGTCAATCTTTCAGATGCTGTTTTAATTTATGTTTAAATAAGTGTATATTGTCAATTTCCTTTAAATAAACCGGGAAAGCATTCCAATTGGATATGCAATTGTTGAAAAAGCTAAATTGTAAATGGGGTTTAAATTTAGGTAGGACAATGTCATGCCTAGTTGCTCGAGTAAAGTATTTATGGGCATTTTGAACATTGGTGAAATCCTCATAAAGATATGTAGGGCAGGAATTATTAAAGATTCGTAAAGCATGATTACAAGAAAGCTGATGATGAGGACGATGATGAAGAAAATGATGACGATGATGACTATAATGATGATGATGCTGACGATGACGAAGGCGACAGTGATGATGATCAAGCCCATAACCAGAAAAGTTTAAATAAAATAAATTTCATGTATTTTGAGTGAATAAAATTAATACTAACCTAGCTTGATACTCATGATCCAATTCATTAAAATGTCTTAAATACAGTCTTCCATAAGATGACCTATAAACATAATGAATTTAATCAGTATATAATAAAGAAAATAAAATCAGTACAGGCCTCATTCTAATAAGACTCTTCTAATTAAAGACCACCTTCAATTAAAGATCACATTTCTGTGGTCCCAATTTAACAAATATCTTTTATCTATATTATTATTTGTAACATTTCTTTACAATATCGATGCAATTTTTTTTACATGCTGCCATAAAGCAATCATTACAAGGTGGTGTCATAAAGTAAACAAAGAGAAATTTAGTCAAGTACTTATAAAACTAGAATAAAACTTTAAAATCTTACCATTTTCTTGCTCCAAGAAGTGTTGGATCTCTTTTTATCAAATCAGCATAATGAAAAAATGAATACAGAACTTGCCACAGCAAGATGAATGGACATAGAATAAAATTGGCAATACCAATCCAAAGTATGTGCTTGGACAATCTGAAATTGGCAAATAAAGTGTATCAATTAGCATCTTACAAAACATGCTACTACTACAAAAAAAATAATGATGTTTGTGTTTAAGTCAGAATTATTATACCAGCCTGTTACTTGTGATGATTTGCTACTGGTTTGGATGAAATAAATAAATAAATAATTAATGGCCAAAACCATATGATCCCATCCTTCCTTTCCCAAACAATTACCCCATTCCTACCCACACTTACCAACCCCCCCCACCCCCACCCTTATCTATCATTCAACTATCCTCATCCTAGGTTTAGAAATAGAATAAAGATAGACATAGAGAGAGAAGGCAAATAATAAGATTGCAAAACGTCCAAATATTCTTTAGAGTACAGATGAAACTTACTCTGCTGCCAACTTTTCTCTGTTAGAAGAACGTTTATACTCGTCTCGTAAATGCCAGTAATTCTTGAATGGGGCCCATGGTCCCCCTTTAAAATAAAAAGACAAATATATATAATATGTATTAAATGCTCAAATAAGCAAAAATATATAATTAATTTTATGTCAGAACATAAAATATATACATAATGTTTGAAATATGAAATGAAATTCCAATAAACTTGAAATAATATTAAACAACATTATTAATGAGATTATTTATATAAAACATAAAAAGAATTTTAAAAAATCATAAAAAGAAAATAATAACAACATTATAATAAAAATAATAATAATAAAATGAATTTTATTGATCAATGTTCACATTCAAAAGAGATAATAGGAAAAAATTATACTTACAAAATAAGATGATTTCAAGGTTATACTTCAGTCCATTTGATAGATATACACTGTCATTAAAATTACAAAATATTGAAAATTATTACATGTATTGGAACATCTGCAATATTATGATGGTGGACATTAACAAACACCAACCTTATTTATACAGACCATGTGATATTATCATGACCATATTTGAGGAATGTTGTGGCAAAATGGCTATGTTGTAGCAAAAATTGAAATTAAGTTATCTGAATACTCAGATACCTGAGTATGTAATCTTTAAAATGAGGGGTCATTCATTGAAATTAGATGTTTTAAGCCTAAGTTATTGGAAAGTGAATGTACAGCACTCTTTGAGCCAAGATATACATGATTTTGAGTAATTGCCTTCCAAAGCTATTTGTGCATACATTGTTTAATAGAATTAACTATCAAACTCTTAAGGTTAAATAAATGATTTGTTGATCATTTTCAGAACTAAGACTTTGGGATATGATTAATATGGCATTAAACTGTTGATATATAGTGAAAAACAAATTTGGATTTTTAGGCAATTTTTTGAGCTCCCATATTATATTATAGCTCATTTACTCAATACTGGTCTGTGCGACAACTTAACCATTTCGCCACAACATACCTCATTCAGGCATATCACATATTTTTGACATATAAAATGTCATAGTTTAGACAGGACTTAAGGTACTTTAACAGATACAAAGTTAAAATATAACCATCACAATTTACATACATTCTCAGATAACACAGTATAATTTCTGATACTTACAATTCTCCTAGGAATGGAACTCTAAATTTTAAAGGCAAAAGAGATTTATTGACCATAGCAACCATATAGTTCTTGAAGCGAAGAATCCTATGATAAATATCTGCAAAGATTAGAAATCAATTTAGCTTCAGATTGTTACTGTATGTTGTAACTATGAAGAACATAATATGTTATGACATTATACTGTATACTACAGTACTATACGAAAGTATAATACATACTGCAAGTATTGAAATACACGCCATCGTGTTGGGATTCAATATTTCGACATTAATTATGTCATCATCAGTACTATACCTTATAAATATTAACTACGCAATAACAACATTTCATTAATCAATTTCACCTGGTAATGTGTGCAGTTGATTTTACTACACACCTGTGCATGCCAAATTTACATGTACAGTACATGGGGAAAAAGTATTTGTATTTTTAATTTTTTTATTGTTTGACTATTTTAAACTTTGAGTTTATCAGCATTTTTGCTGTTTCTAAGTATTTATTCTGAATAAATAAAAAAAATAAATAAATAAAAATAAATTAAAAATATACTATCCAAAACTGACTACCACACCCTTGTCTATGTGAACCTCTGCAAACTATGTAATTTTACCATCACACATTGTTATGGCTAATGTAGAGGGACGGTTTGCTGTTTAATATTTATGAGGTAAAATCAAACAAATACAACATAGTTATATTTCAGTAAAGCAGTGAATTCTACTTCACTCGTTGTTGAATGATTGGGACTACCGCCCTCTACTTCAAACCTCAGGAGGTAGAATTCACTACTTCACCTAAAACCATGTTGAATTTGTATATTACAGCATTCACAGACCATGGATCTCACATCACTGGCTTCTCTTTAAAATTACATATCAAGGTTAAAATTCTCTTCCTCACTTTAAACACACCTGCATACACTCACCAACTAACACACATTTATGTTCATTGACGTTAAATTAAATTACTGTATCTGATCATTTTTCAATTTACGCTAATCCTTCAGAACTATTGAACTTAGATCATTTCCTTTGGCAGTCACTTTAAAATTCACTCCCCACACACATTAACTATTTTTCCTCTAATAACATGCACCGCACCATTAACACTGTATACTGGTCACTTTATGATGCTTCATAAATTATTTTTGTTCTCCACATTGTAAGTTTTCAAATGATGGGTCATTTACTGGAATCGACATACTATCACCGAAGTTATGGGTAAAAGTATAACGGTTTCTCAGTAGGCTACTAACGTGTACTTTCACATTCTTACGCTAACTACTCAGTTTAACAATTAGCGACAGTACGCTGGTTTTGGGAAAGCAAGCAAAATTAAAGCAACAGTTGTCAATGACATACATGATACTGAGAACATTATTAGCAGCAACGATTATTATCTGAGGGTGCTCACCTAACTCTGTAAGTTCTTCTTTGTGTATACACATTCTCTGTTCAATCTGAACTCGTTGAACTCGCTGAAGCACGTCATGCCAAGTGTGATTTGGCAAATCATCCTGTGATCAAAAAGTAATGGCACTTATTTAATTTATAAATATTAATGAGCTTCATGATTATCAATAACTAATTTTTAAAATATTATGTCAGTTACAATTTGAAACAATAACATGGATACAGGCCTGTATGGATCTTTGATTGACTTACAGTAAGGCTGTGTCTTAACTACATAGGCCCTGATTAATGAAGACCGGGACGCATGCAAGGGAGAGTTTTCAAAGAAGACTTGTACACATCATTCAACAATTTTACGCACAATCTACATAAATTTACAAAATACACAAAGTCATGGCCAAGGAAGAGCAAGCCAGAAATTTACACTTTCTGGCCATTTATACTTGTTGCATAATAGGTTTCTTGTCAGAATGAATATTGCCTTGGTGCCTGATATGTTTATTATTTGTGTAACAAATTGCCAATAGATATTTAATTCCTAGATTCTTAAATGATTAATTTAACATCAAACAGCAGAGCTAGGTTATGCTTTTATTGTATTTTGAGAACAACACAGCTCCTTCTTGGAACAAGACATATTCAAAAAGTAAATCACACACTGATGAACACATCTGTAACTGTCATAAGGCTTTTAATCACTACAAAGTGCAGGTATGTGTAAACAGGGGTCGAGCACCGAAGTTAAGCTTCATGTTTGGAACAGTGTTTTAGTTCCAATTCTTGTATATGGTACTTAGTGTATAAATTCACCTAACACTGTATCTTTGGATAAAATACAACGTATATTATTCAAAGCAGAGTTAGGTATCCCTAAGTATTGTAGAATGACACCCCTGCTTCTAAATCTCGCAAAAGTTAAAGATATTATCTTATCTAATCAAACTGATCTCCTGTCACAACTGGTTGTTAACGACTCAAATTACAGAGTATTTTATTGTCACCTTTTAATTGCGAAGCAAAGAATAACATGTTGTACACAGGATAAAAAAAATAACATCGATAGGAACTCTTCCTTTGTATCTTTCATATTTATTAATGCATACAGAAAACGGTTGAAAAGTCCGATATAAATAGCTATAATTGTGTAAATCACGGAATCTATGACAGTGTAAAGAAATGCTTTTATAATAATAACATTAATACATTATTAACTTAACAAAATCCTTCTATTTTACCTTGCTTCATGGTTAATTCTGGATACATGCTTGTGTTTCGATCTTTTTAATTGTGCACTTTTTATGTACTTTGTGTAGTTTCTGTATTTCTCTTCCCCTTTGTGGGATTTTATCGTTGAATATATTGATTGATTGATTGATTGAAAACCCTAAAATGAGCACTTACAGTTTGAATCTTGAGAGCAGTAAGAAAGAAAGACCTTATTTCCCAATATTTGAAAGCGTTGTAGACTACACGAGTAAAGCGATGCAGCCAGAAAATTGCAGCTATTATTAAACAGATGACTAAAACTGGATCTAAACTAAAGACAGAAATATAACACAATTTAAACATGTTGAATATTTGGACTTCACATTCATAAGCGGTTGGCACATTGGTTGTGGCTTGGACTGCGGACCTTGAGGTCAGGGGTTCGAAATTCTCACTCTGCAAGTCGCTTGTGTCTTCGGGCAAGGTGCGAACCTTGAGGTCAAGGGTTCGAAACTCTCGCTGTGCAAGTCATTTGTGTCTTTGGGCAAGGCACTTTATCTACGTTTGTCCCTCTCTACCCAAGAGTATAAATGGGTACCTGGTAGGATGTTGTCGCATTGAATGTACTAGTTTCGTGTGCAAAATAAGTAGCGAACGACTAGGTATACTCCCCAGGGAGCAGAGAAGGTTGCACTTTGTGCTGGTTTTTTGCCATGGTATGTTATCCAGTGACCAGGGATAATAACGCTCAGCGCCTTTGATCATTCATTGGAATTGGCGCTATTAAAATATATGGGTATTATTATTACTATAAAAGATTCAGATTGCAGTTATTTGAACATTTTTTTTAATCAAATGGTTCATTCAAATGATATCATATTTTCTTAAATATCTTTCTTGTACTTTATTTTAATAGCTTATTATGAATTTTTTTGTATTCTAAAACTTTTGTTGCTGTGTTTAACCAACTAGATGGATCTCCAGTCAATGTACACATTGAGTAAATACCATTATCATAGCGCCATTGAACACTGCATTCTGCCGGCGATATTGGTGCTATATAAATCCTTGTTGATTGATTAAAGTCTACCATGAGTCATGGGGATATCTGGTTAGTCTCCTACATTCCTAGCAAGCAATAATTTCCTACGAACTAACCCCATTCCCACAGGGCCAAATGTTATCTTTACACTATTATAGCCAAACAGTAGTACATTTAGTGGTTTGAAGCCAGCAGGAATATTAAATTTAATTATGCATTAAATTCTGATGTATAAAAAAAAAATCCCCGGGTTAAAGGGCAGTGCCTCCGAACACCGGTCATGCACTTTTTCCAGCCCTGCCACAGCGGATACCTTTAACCTTATCAAAATGTTGAAAACAAGACAAACTTACTGCTTACAGATAGCTTTTCCACACTATCAAATTCTGTGTGACAAACTTGTGTGATTTGTGCCCATATATGGTAACGATCATGTCATACTACTGTACACCCAAATATGGGCATATCACAATTATTTTCACATAAAATTTGATAGTGTCGATACAGACTTGAGCCCTGTCCAGACTATAAAATTTTATTTGACAAAAACAAGTGACATGCCTAAATATGGTCATGATGACATGACATCATGACCATATATAGGCACATCATGACTATATATGGGCATACAACAGTTTTTTGTGGAACAAAATTTGATTGTGTGGACAGGGCTATTTGTTATGATATACTTACTGACTTAGGCATTGATCTAAAGGTTCAATTGTGTCTGCTATTGTTGTTTTGTTATGTACACCATTCACCTTTTCTTCACCAAACAGCACAGGGTATTTGACACATTGGAGCAGGAATACAGAGAACATCACAATGAATATAAATTGGCTAGAAATAAAGCAATCAATATCAACTGAAATAACTATTGTCACACCTATACATATACTACATCTACAAACACTACCACAAACACCTCACAACTCCCACCCCCGCCTTGGTACAGTACCAGGCAAAATCAAACCTAATTTATCAATCAGCCAATCCAGTGTTTTAAGTTGTCATTAGACAAATATAGATTGAATTTTTTATAGAGAGGGTGATCCTTTCAGCGTATACTAGAAGGTTTGCTGATATTCAGGGGCCCTCTTATGTAAATGAAATAATGTGATGCATTTATCAGTGAAGTCTCTTTATGAGGCTAATAGGGAATGGAGTTGTTTTTAGTCATGACAAAAAGTCCTGCTGTTACAGGAATTGAACCCAGGATTAGAAGGCAAGTATCTTAACCACCAAGCTGTTCAACTCCACAATTATACTACAATCTTTATTCATCCAAACATCCAAATACAAACAGATAAAAATAGTAAGATTAAAATAAGAGCTTGTGGACTGGAGGTCAATGGTCAATGGTCATTTATACTGTATAGTGCCTTCCACATTAAAAACCTCCTCAAAGCACTTTTAAGCCACAAGAAACTAAAATTTAATTTATGAACATGCGCAAACGCAAAAGGGGAGTAGGAAGGTGCGCATCCTCGATTTTGAGATAACGTCGCCTACTACCATAATTATTAAGAAGAAATGCACTTACACAAGTTCAAATATCTGTGATAACATCATGCATGCATAACCATGTTTTTGATGGTATTGGTAGATGTATAGATGCTGTTAAGGTTTGACCTACATTCAAAATCTATTACCTTCATAATATTTTTTAATGAGCACCAATACAGAAATATTGATACAGAAGTTTGATGGCTGGATTAGTAATGATTTGTTGTTTTTCAATATACTGTTTTTAACATTTGTACTTTATTCTGTAGTAAATATTCATATGGTTTGCCAACAACAAAGTAATTTCTTGTATTGTACAGTACTTTTGCTAGTTTTACAAGACCAATAATATTTTGTATTCTGTATTACAATAGCATATTACAAACCAACCAAGTCGCAAAAAATCCCTCTGTATTATATCCCTGGCATGTACAGTATCCCTGCTGTACACTATCAGAAATGAATATGCCTTTAAAAGGAAGTTATTCAGGAGGTAGATATTCTATGGTATTTTCCAAGCGAAATTTTCCATAATGTCTTTCGCCTAAGAATATTAACCAGGGACACAGTTTGGGGTAATTCTTTTTTATTTTTTTTTCATTTCATTTTGTTTGTATTTGTAATTTAAGTGTTTGATATCTGGACCACCAGGAAGATTTTTCTGGATTGGGTATCCAGAAAAAAGAAAGATTTCTATCTACCTATATCTAAACATTAAGAATACCATGAAGAAATTTGTTTAATAATGCATTAATGTATATATAAAAGGATATTCTAGTGAAAAATTCATCCAAATTCTCAATGTGATTCCATGGAGCTAGAAGATAAAATAAATGTCAAAATTAGTATAACATCCAAGATATTCTGATACAAAAAAATTATTTCAGGTGTTTTTTTTTTATGCATTTTGACAAAATCTGCAACCAAATACACACTATACACTATTAATTTTCTAACCATTATTCTTTGGCTAATATCTGGAGTTATAATTCTTCACAAACGAATTAATATACGGTATTAAATGAAGCAAGATGTTATTACATTAATAAATATAGTGGCACAAATGTGAATATCAGTAAGCATACTACAAAATAACATAATAAAATTAACAAGTGATGATAATAATAAAACAAACCATCAATAAGAACAATCATGTTTGTTTATACAGACAATACATCTAATTTCAAAATTTTAAATGTTATAAGTTATCACCTTTGCCATTATCTGGAACATGATCAACTACAAGGTTTCTCTCATCAGGTGGTGAATCTTCATCATCATGATAGGCTTCTAGTCTATGATACCCAGTCTCCAGGTGCTCCATCTTTCCCACCTTTGATACCCACCTCTGAGATTTCCACCCCGGCTGTCAGAAGTGCTTGTGTTATTCACTTTCTTGCTCTGTTTTGTTATTTAAGATCATATATTGTAAACATACAAATTAACCTGCAGGAAATTAGGGACTTCAGGATGAGTGAACAGTGGCTGATCCAGTAATTCAAAATAGAAGGGGCCCGGGGGATGCGGGGATAGGGGTGCTTTGA